ATGCAGAGGTGGTATTCAGCCAGTTCTGACAGGTTTTGGAGAACTGGTAGCGGAAATTTTGAGTAGTTCGGAGAACCGGCAAATAGGCTGGCCCCACCCCCACTGCCTCCCAGCTGATCTTCGTTTGTTGCCCTGAACAGGAGAACTGAACTGGAAAGCAGGTTAGTGGGGTGGGAAGGGAATGGGGATTTTGCAGTCTCCTTCCCCTGCCCACACCCACAAAGACACGCCCACAGAACCGGTAGTAAAAAAATTTGAATCCCACCACTGATTATTGGCCATCAGAGCTGGAGAGGTCCATGATTGCCATGAAGGATCCCAACTTCAGGGCCTGGAGATTAAACTCCTCTAGTACTAAAAACCTAGGAGGATTAATATGAGGGACGGCACAATTGGAATGTCAATAATACATGGGCTTATTTTCTTCAAATTCAGTGAAACGCTAGTTTCTTACTAGCGGATGCAACAGCTATGTTCAGTTGATTCTTTTAAAACAATTAGGTTATGTTGTCTCTCCTCTTCTCCCCTCTCCTTCCAACTCTTCTATCTGAATGAGGATAGCACTGCTAACTGGAATGTGCCATCCCTTCTCTTTTGAATGTACAAAACCAGTTTGTCATGTAACCAAGGATAGAAATGCTGTGGCTTTGCTCTTTGTGGCCCAGAGGGACTTGCCACTAGTGGATAAAGAAATGCTAGCTGCAAAAATTGGAAGCTTTAACCGTCTACATTATTTCTACGGAGAAGCTTTGGAAGAGAAGATATGGCAATACCCTGCCTAAGTAACTCAAGGGCTGGTCTTTTGATGTCAGTTTCCACAAATTGTGACTGCACTAATGACATATTGTAAGTGTATGAGTGCCTGGGAATCCTTCCCATTACTATTCAGCACCTCATGAGATTTACTAGCAAGCAGGGCACAGCGAGTATTTATACAGGTCTTCTTCTTACCGTGGTTGATGCTTTCTCTTGCATAGCCACATACGAATTGTCTTTTGTATTTTAATACAGGCACTTGCTCTGTACTTGATTTTGTTTTTCACTGAAAATAAAAGGAAGGGAAAAGTGAGGGAAACCTCATCAACAAATGTCTAAATACAGAACCCACTATTCTGAGGGGGTGGGGATGGATGGATAGCTAGACAGACAGGCAGACAAGCAGACAGAGACAGAGAGTTAGATAGATTTTATACTACTGTATTTTTCAGAGTATAAGATGCACCGGAGTATAAGACGCACCAATATTTTGAAGAGGTACATTTTTTTAAAAAAAAATTAAAAAAATTTTTTTNTTTTCAATTAAAAAAAAAACTGAGGCTGCTGCATTCGCCACGGTGAAAAAACTTCTGTCAGAGGACATGTTCCTGGTTCAGTACAACCAGACTTTGCCACTTGTACTGACTTGTGACACCTCGCCTTTTGGCGTCGGAGCAGTCCTCAGCCACCACATGCTCAACGGAACCAAGGCACCCATCGCCTACTACTCAAGGACTCTCTCAGCGGCTGAGATGAACTACAGCCAACTGGCCCGGGAGGCTCCTAGCTGGAGTCAAACGGTTCAACGAGTACTTATATGGCCATGATTTTGAAATCATCACGGACCATAAACCACTTTTGGGACTATTGGCTGGGGTCCGACCTACACCAGCATCGTTGTCACCACGGATGACCCATTGGACTATTTTTTTAGCAGCTTACAGTTACCGCCTCATCCTCAGACCGGTCACCACACTGGGGCATGCTGACGCCATCAGCCGGTGCCCCCTACCAGAACTGCTTGCTGATCCAACCCCCGAGATGCCAGTTCTGCTCATCGAGTGCCTGGAAGCTGGCCCTTTCTCCTCCAGAGAGGTCGCCCACCACTCAGCTAAAAACCGAACTCTGAAACAGGTTTTGAACTGGGTGTGGAGGGGGTGGCCCAAGGGACCGGTTGAGCCAGAGTTGAAATTGTTTTATTTTAAGAGGGATGAACTGTCCGTTGTAAATGGTTGTTTATTGGGGGGGGGGGATCAGGTTGTTATTCCAGAAAAACTGTGAGTCGCAGTATTAGAAGCATTGTACGTGGGGCATCCTGGAATTGTCCGGATGAAATCATTGGCCAGGAGTTACGTATGGTGGCCTAACATGGATAATGAGATTGAGGAATGGGTGGCTACCTGCACACCGTGCCAGGAGTCCAGACCAGCACCCCCCAAAGGCCCCCGCTAAGGAGTGGGAGCAACCTCAAGCACCATGGTCTAGAGTGCACATTGACTTTGCTGGCCCAGTTCACGGCCAGACGTATAAGGTAGTTGTGGATGCATATTCGAAATGGCTAGTGTTGTGACTCAGCAGTTCTGCTGAGAGTTTTTTCGGGATACAAAATTCAGTATGCAGCTGGGGCTTGTGGGAGGAGGTTTGGAGATAAAAG